CCATAAATGGCAATAAGAGCCACATTTTCAGAAAGTCTCTCCTCTAAAGCATTTATGGTGCTTTCCTCTGGACTGTTCTCAGTCAAAAGACCTGCGTCAAGAATGAAAAAACAGAGGTCAGTCACCTACTTTCACATCTGGCTAATTGGTCCATGGCTTGGATGTGACTGTTGGGTTATTTGTTTCTTAAAGCTGCAATCTAAAAAAAAGTCTCACTCAGCTGCAGACAATAAAGAGGAAACAGCTGGACACCACTATAATTACAAGAAAACAGATGACTCCAAATGATTAATTTCAATTTTTTTAAGAATTAAAAACAGCAAGTGTGGCCTGTAAGATAACATGACCCTTGAGACGCCTTTTTCCTGTGCAGGCATTATGGTTTGAGCACACTAAACCGTTCAGAGACAAGGATTTCTGAAGCCAAATGCATCTGTGGCTCCTCACAGACAAGAGTGCTATAAATGTAATCCAACTCACACAACTCCCAAATTTTTAAATAATCATCAGGACAAATGTGGAAAAGACAGCTCAGAGGTGAAGCGTTAGAGAATAATATAAGCAAAACCTGGTAGCAAATCATCAGGTGGCCCTCACTGAACTGCAAACCAGGTGTTGGAAACTGTAACTATTTCCTCTTTTTTAATTTCACTTCATTTAATTTCATATGCAGCGCCACTTCACAACAGTCGTCTTCAGGTGCTTAATACAATAAATAAAGACCTTTCAATATTTGAGAAAAACTAAAACAATCTCATAATCCACTATGAGCAAGCACTTGGTGGTAGTGGGAAGACAGAACCTTGTTTATAAACAGGAAGACACCTCAAATAGAGGCATAAACACATGGGAAGTGAAAAGAAGGGAGTGGAGAAAAGTGTTGATTACATCACGGGAAGTCCCCCAGCTTGCTGAATCTATTTCAGCATCACTAAAAGTTGGTTCAGGGTCACCTGGTTCAGCCTTAAATACAAGTTTTATCAAAAGGGAAGTTTTAAGCCTGATCTTAAAAGTAAAAATGGTGTCTATCTTCCAAATCCAGACTCGGTGCTGGTTCCACAGGATCTGCCTCCCATCCTACTTTTAGGAACCACAAGTAAGCCTGCAGTCTGATAGTGATTATGCAGCGATTATGCTAATATTATTACTATACTATACTATCACACTATTACTATGAGTTCTCTAAGATATGATGGGATCTGATTGTGAGAAAGAGATTTTTAAATTCAATTGTGGGTTTAATAAGGAGCCAATGAAAATGAGCTAATATGAGAAAAAATATGATATCTCTTTTCTTTAGTACTCTCACTTACATGTTTTTGATCAACTGAAGGCTCTTCAGTGAGCTGTTAAGGCAGCCTGACAATAAAGAATTACAAGAGTCCACCCTAAAAGTAACAAATGCACTTATTTTTCTGCATCATTTTAATTTAATGCTGTTTTAACAATAATGTGCAGATGATAGAAGGTATTAGGGCTGGGCCATATCATACCATTCACGGTAACACCGGTATAATGTTAGGCAACGATAAGAAAATGAAATATCGCGATAGAATATGGGTAAAACGAGCGCGCAGTGCCGTTGTTTTCATACACACATGGTGGAAAAAGCATGGCGGCGACAGAGAATTAGAAGGGCGAAAGCAGATCGTTGATTGAAACAGATAAACCCGAATTGGTTTGTAAAAATGGTGCCAACTTCAGTGGTGTGGAACTGGTTTGGTTTTTGTCTGTCAGATACACACCAAAGCACAATTTTTGGTAGAATATCTAAGCAGCCATAAAACCTGGGGCTGCACAGCGTCAACGCATTAGCGTCCAGCCCCACACACTGGGCGATCCGTGTTAACTCGCTAACGCGAGATTTGCAGCGTTAACGCGGTTATGGCGTTAATGTCATTTTAACAAGATTAACGCTGACAGCACTAGTTTTAATACGACTTTGATAAGCTACAAAGCCGCATGGCTTGATTCATTGTCGGAGCATTACGCTACCATTTCAGGAGCCTTGCGGAGTGATAGGTACTGTGCTTCAACATAATATTACGGTTTGGTGTGTGTATAACCTCTTTTTAAGTTTTGTGGATATTATACATTCGAGGCTGCAGCTAAGGTCTCCAACAATGCTAGTGTTAGCGGCGCTAACGGCTGCAGACAAGAAGATACTGCCAGCACCGGAAACTCGTCATCTCCGAGCATGAAGTAAGGAGAGCCTTCAAGAGAGTGAACACCAGGAAAGCAGCAGGACCAGACGGCATCCCAGGTCGTATCCTCAGAGACTGCGCATACCAGCTAGCTCCTGTGTTCACTGAGATATTCAACATCTCTTTATCTCAGTCGGTGATCCCCACATGCTTCAAAGAGTCCATCATTGTTCCTGTCCCGAAGAAACCCCACCCTGCTTCTCTCAATGACTATCGCCCTGTAGCCCTCACCTCAGTAGTGACGAAGTGCTTTGAACGCCTGGTCAGAGACTTCATCATTTCTTCACTATCAGACACACTGGACCCACTACAGTTCGCTTACCGTCCAAATCGTTCCATAGACGATGCCATCTCTTCTTCCCGCAGGCGATACGGTCTCTCAATCACACCACCACACAGTACTGACCCACACATACAGTTCTTACACACACTGGACATTCTGGACATTGTTTTCACTTCATTACTTAAATCACGCTGCTGTTATTGTGTATATATTTATTTATATTTCTTCATACATTCTTATATAGTTCTATATTGTGTATTTTGTTGTACAGTTATTTTATTTTCAACTTTAATTTATATATTTTATCTTATTCTCCCAGTTAAATTTACCCTTCATTCTAATTTGTGTTGTACAGTTATTTCATTTTTAACCTTAATTTATATTTTATTCCTTCCTAGTTAAATTTACCCTTTTTAATTTTTCATATTTATTTCCTATCTTATTCATAGCCTTTTCCTTTTTTGTTTTCTTTAGGTCACGAGCAGTTGTCCAAGCATTTCACTACATATCGTACTGTGTATGACTGTGTACGTGACAAATAAAATTTGAATTTGAATTTGAACATGGTTATGCTCAGGATATGTCGGCCAATTTCCACTGGAAATGATTTTTGGTTAAAATGTCAGCAAGGAATTTGCATTTGCGCTGTTAAAATTTTATACAGCTTTAATGCACATAAAAAATAACTGCTTGTTTAATTGAAAATATATTGATGGTTTTTTTTTGCACTAATAAAGTTGTGAAGTGTGTAAAGCCTGTAAAGTATTTTGTCTCGCGTCAATTATATCATTATCGCAAATGTTCAAATATATATTGTGATAAATATTTTTGGCCATATTGTCCTGCTCTAGAAGGTATTCCTAGACATTTGTTTAATATGCAAGTTAAAGGACCTACCCTGCTCCAAACTCACTCTAAGGTTCCTCACAGTGTCAGTGGAGGCTAAGGTAAAGCCTTGAGAGTAAATACCTCGTTACACAGCGCGATTCTCAGATTTTTAGAGACAACTTGCTACAAGTCAGTTTTGGCAGAAGTGATGAATAAACAGACACACGTACGTTTTCTGCAAAGACTCCATTCGTGTTAAACTGGCTGATGACCAGTTTAGCTCTTATTGTCATCTCCCAGTAAAGTCACATTAAAGTCACAGCTTGTAGCTCCGCCCCGGCAGACTGCCGCGTCTTCAACACACAACAAACCTCCACTATGCACGGAGGCAGCAGCTTCAAGTGAGCCGAACGCTGCTTCGACAGGAAATTACGTAGCACTACAAATAAAAAGCCCCAACAAAGTAAACCTTTAAAAACACATTTTGACTCAGGTCTACTTATCAATGCATTTCAAATGCAACTTTTCAAGATAATTTCTTGTATATAAAATAAGGGATTGTGCAAGATGTTAAGGACAAAAATAAAGTGAGTTATTTTATTTGTTTACTTACAAAATAAAAATGAATTGCCGCCACTGGAACTTTGGTAAAAGTATAATGGTTTAATAAACTTCACACAGAGGCAAAATATCCATTTATCACATTTAGCCAAGAAGACTAATTTTCACTTGGAGTCCCCAGCCAGGAAAGAGTTTTATTAGAATAAAATAGCAACAAAAAAACAAAAAACAAAATAAATTTATAAAAGTTATCCCAAACAAATAAATGTTGTTGTCAGATCATGTGACCTAATTGATTGTTCAATAGGAAACATTTTAAGGCAACATATTCATATTTGGAGGTAATAAATTCCAGGCAAGAACTGCTTGAGATGAGCGTGCTGACTGGCAAAAAAATTGTTATCCATAATACCAGTAATATGCAACAATTAGCGGTTAAAACTGACCACATGAGTCAATCTGTAGATGCAGTCACAAACTCCTAAAGTACTGATGGAGCAGCTCTATTTAAAATTTTACTATCTAAGAGAAGTCATCTTAAATTAAAAGTAATCTCATCTCAAATTACCAGTTCACAAACTAGTTCAGTGGGCTTCAGGTGCTTGCTGGCGTGTGGTTAGGCAATTAGTAATATGAGAAGGGATTGTATGCTATTATCCTCCATGTACAATATTTTTGTATTTCAAATGCATTTTGTTTTAAAGTCTCATTTCTACACAGGAACAGGCAGGTAATTTTAATCAAGTAAAGCTGCGCAGAGCTGAAAAACTTACCTTGCTTTAATGTATAAATTTCCTGTAAAATAAGAAACAAAAAGTGCCTTTTAGAATTTATTAAATATACTGTTTAACGTTACATGTATAGATTTCAATGGGAACTGGAAATGTCCATCTCACAATTTTGAGCACATGTTCCCCAGCCAGTAAAAACATGAAAGAAGCAAATAAGAAAACAGCAAGTGCTTTGTGAGTTTGGTCCTTTTTTAATTATAACTCGCCGAAACGTGAAAACGCAATTTCGAAATGACAGAAAAATTAAAACTAATAAAAAAAACTACAGTGACTGAAATTTTAGATTGATGGCTTTTATTGTGAAACTCTTGACGGGATGTGGGCGCTGTCACTTCGGCTACCTTGATGCGCAGTTCGCGGACGCGCTCATTCACTTCAGGTTAGGACTCCCACTGGAGTAAGGAGAGAAGGACGGGGCAGCGTCTGTCGTTAAAACTCGCAGGAGGAAAACGTAAATCACTCGGATACACTCCTGGAAACAACGACTTTCAGAACGTTAAACCTGAGCAGCACACCAACTGAAAGCCGCGTCGGTTTATTTTTGGGCCAACGGATTGATCCCGGACTGTGTGTGCGCGCGTGTTTTCCTTTGGATGCACATACACACACAAACACGCGCGCGCAGTCACACAGGTTGCTAGCGGAGTTAGCCGGGTTTGCTAGCTCGCTGTGGTTAGCTGGGCTTTCCGTCCGCAGGGAGTGAACGCAGAGCGGGGTTAAAGTTTAGAAACAGTGCCCGACATTTTCCAGACAGAAGGCTGCTGGTTCAGGCATGATGTGTGGGTTTTTCGGAGGTTTGTCAAGTTGGCCGGCGGGTAGCATTGGCTGACTGAAGCCCAGCATTAGTACCTCGGATTGGACTCATGTGTGTTCCCCCCTTCTTCCTTTTCCACTGCTGTTTTTAAACAGTTTTTTTTTTTTTTAAAACGGACTTTGCCCTCGGGGTGTTGTAACTCCGCTCCCTATATTAAATAAAAGCCTCAATTGATTCTTCTTTTGGAGTTTCTCAACACTTTGCTGGAAGTTTTTATTTCTTTCTCTTCAAGGAGGAGGTAAAAAAAGTTGTTGTGAAGTTGAGAAGGATTTTTCCAAGCCTGTGGAAAAAATGGATGCGGGAATAGAGAAAGAATGCAGCGCCTTGGGAGGGCTCTTCCAGCTCATCATGAACGACATGAAGGTAAAAAAAAACGGACATACAAGTCATCTCATTACATGTCGCTACATCTTTTTTTTTTTTAATCAAGCTGTTTTTTCCCCTTTATTTTTTGCATACTTATCCCAATATAATGGGTTACCTGTAATATCAGTCTTCAAAAGTCATATCTGCTTCATATTAAGTAACTTCATGGCAGCAGCCTGTAATATTGTAAGCCTGTTATAATATTGTATTGAAGATTTGACCCTTGCAATGCTGATTTGGCAATTCTATTTATTCTCCGTGAGACTTACACTTAAAAAAAATAAATAAATATATATATCCATCCATCTTCATCCGCTTTGTCCGGGGCCGGGTCGCGGGGGCAGCAGCCTAAGCAAAGAGGCCCAGACCTCCCTCTCCCCAGCCACCTCCTCCAGCTTGTCCGGGGGAATATATATATATATATATATATATATATATATATATAATTTTTTAAATTATGACTGTCATGAACTATTTGATTGGGACAGATTTGGACATAACATCTAAAAAAATGCATAAACAAAGTGGAATTTAAAATATAGAGTCTCAGGAAAGCACGAGTAAGCTTGAAATTTAGGTTATTAAAGGCTTGACATGGGATTTCTGGATGTGCAGTGCTGCTGATGTTGATTAGGTAATGAATGAGCAGAGGTTAAAACTGGAAGTGGGCCATCTGAGAGGGTAAGAGAGCTGGATGGGGGTGGATTTTACCAGCTGTGCACCCTTTGATGTTTGTCAAGCACTCTGCCCTTTTGCTGCCTGTCTGTCTGAGTTCCACTGCTCTCAGATGTTCATAGTTAGCAGCTTCTCTTTTCCAATCTCATCTCTTTTCCCCCCCTTGGTCCAGAATAGGCAGCAAATGGCTCTGGTTCTACTGGCCTTTCACGTACTGGCACTGGCATGGGCATGGGTGATTTTTACTGATCAGGTTTAGCCATTTGTTGACATTTTGGAATCTGTTAATCAGACTTTGGGAGTTTTTAAATTTTACTTTTCACTGTGGATTTCCTTTAAACTGAGCTTATAAAAATAGATGCATAAATATGATCTGAAGTAAACTCAGCCTGCTGTGCTTGTTTGGGCTTTTAGGTCATGCCAAAATGAAGGTAATGTATGCAATGCATTAAAAACATAGGATAATCCCATTGTGCTATGTTTAAGGAAAAAAAAGGTGTCCGGTCCGATTGGTGTGCCAAAATGTCTATATTTGGGTAAGGTTGGGTTGAGTACAGTGGGTCGTCTACCAATGGGAAGGTCAGCTGATCGATCCCTAGCTCCTCCTGTAGAAAGGAGTACCATTATATAAGTACCAGTCTGTTTACCAAATCACCAAGATTTTTCTAACTTTTTTTAAGTGACCTTTAATTTACAGAAAATCCATAGCTTACTGTTAAGTAAGGTAACTTTGGCAGTCTTCTAGAGCAGTTTATGTTTCTCATTTACATTTTTACCATAGAATTACAGATTAAAAGACGGAGCTGTATACTGGGAGGCATATTGAGCCATGTTGTTGGACCAGGAGGTGACCATGAAGGGAGTAATGGATGTATATTCAGTCCTGTTCTTGGTTTTTATAGGGATGATCTCTGTACTTTTGAGCATGGCTGTGTACTTGAGTGCAACTGTTATTATTTATTTTTAAGCCCAAATGTCCTTGTTCTTGATATATTTCTTCAATAACAACATTTTTTTTTCTTTGTCAGTATTTGCTGTTATATATTGTCAGAGGGGGTGGTAAGAAGTAAGATTAATAGGTTAGCAAGGTATTCTAAAGCTTAAAGTCAGAGTTTTCTGTGTCATGAAAGTTGCTCTCTCCCTACCTGGCTAAATCACCATCATAACTTCTGCTGAACATATAACCAGAGCAGGTTATGTTCAGAGTCTGGTTTGAAATCGCCTGCAAGCTCCAGGTTTTCACTGTTTCATTTATTCATAGCACGTTTTGTGTGCAAAATAGATTGTTTGTTGGGGAAATGTTAAAATGTGCAGCCTGATGAATAAAGACTGCTTTGTATTCTCACTGTGATGTGCAGGATTTAGCTGGTGATGCAAAAATGTGTACATGTTTTAATACTTCATTCTGCAGGTGCTAGAACACAGAACAAACAGCAAGAATACCAAGTCAGTCGGTCAAATTAATTAATTGTCTACTTTATTATACTATGGGACAGTAACATTTAATGTTTAAATGTGTCTGGTTAATGTACCGGAACTCTAATGCGCCACCATCTTGTTAAAAGCACATACTCAGCCATAAAATAATAATGAAAACTGAAATGTTTTACTAGAGTATTGATTTTCTCCAGTAGCTTGTCTTATTTGTAACAGCGTTGCATTTTATTATTATACATTTTTATGTTTCTTATAGGTCATCATTATGTAGATAATATTGTGGTAGGTGGCACTCATAGGGATCATTTTGTTATATGACATGTGAGCGCGCACAGAGCCTGAAGCAGATGCTTAACAGAGGAAGTTGAAAACCACCGTTGTGTTACCTGCCATCTCCAACTGGGGGTTTTAGCTTTTGTCAAGCCTGGTAATGCAAAAGAAGGTTGTTTGTGTTGAACTTGCTTCACTGTATCTTTATGCGTGCTCAATCATCCAGATAACTCATCCAAGTGACTTCTTCGCTACGTGCAGATGAACAGAAGCAACTTGTTGGGATTCCTTCATTGTACACTTTTCTGGTGTCCTGTTACGAAAACAACCTACAGCAGATGATTCAGTCTTCAGAAATACAGCGATATTGTGTAACAATGGATCTTCGGGTGACTCACGGAAGCTATAGCAGCTCTACTTTGAGCTGTTTTTATTTTTCTCAACATTGTAATGCACATTCTTGGACTGAATAATACACCTCTGATTGAAGCAGACCTTCATCTCTAATAGAGGGGTCATGTTGCTGTAGTGAGTGAGTGTTTGTTGTCTGTTACTGGATCTCTGTGTGATGAAGAGTCTGAGGAAAATTAGTTAAACGTTTTGCGTGTAACATGATGGAACTTGCAGACGTCCTGTGGAGAGAACAGCAAGCAGTACACATGAGTCACTTCTGCTGTCAGATAACAAGGAAGAGGAATGGTTACGATCTAGTGTATGTGCGTGTGTGGCATCATATCCTGGTTCACCAACATGGCACAGACCCAATAGGGGCACTGCTACCATCTG